TATTCATCTCTTCTGTAGGAAACCACTGAGAAATAGGACAAATCAATACTGACCATTTGCAGCGGATACCGGTATGTATGGTAACTATTTATCCCTGCAGACATCTAGACCTCTAAAGGATTCCCGGGGCTGTTTCGTAAAGCAGGTGGCACAGACACCTTCTACATATTCACAATAGTTTTTAAAAAAATGTTTTGTATCCTGGAGCGGTTTGAGGCCTTCACCCCTGAAAATAAGCCTTTAAAGTTGGCTTATTAGAATGCTTTATTTTTTTATTTTTATTTTTTTGTTGTTGAACCGGCAGCCTTGTTAAGAGCGCACGATCTATCCCCTGAGACACCCTGGCGGCAGCTCAGCTCAAGGTGCCGAGTTCAGTTTTAGTTGCAGGCGGGTATAGCCCACCATTCAAACTGGCAGCCTTGTTGTTAGGAGCACGTGGTCTCACCAGCTGAGCCATCCTGCCACGTGCTGGCAGCCCAGCGGCAGCTCAGCTCCAGGTGCAGCGTCACTGGCCTATGTGGGAATCGAACCAGTGACCCTGTTGCTCAGAGCTTGCACTCTTGGGCAAGCTTTTAACCAACTGAGCCACTCAGCTGGCCCTAGAGCACTTTAAAGATGGAGGATTTGCTGCTGAAGGGGTGAGTTGACTTTGTCAACCTCCACAGGAAGAAACCAAGCACAGCCAGGGGCTGAAATGCCTCCAACCTGAAAAGATTCTTAACTGTGCACAAAAGAGCATCTGGAAAGTTGGCTGCGAGCTTCCACCTGGCCCCAGGAGCGTCCTTCCTCATCAGCATGCTAAGCCTGGCCTCAGGAAGCTGGGGAAAGAAATCTTGCAAGCACAGGAAAATAGACAAATTTCTTCCCTTCAAGCCTAATCTGATGATTTAAACCTATCCAGCCCGATGCCGCTCAGGTGTTCTAACCATCTTATGCCTGTTTAAGAGCTCTTCTGCCGAGAGTTAATACTAACAGCTTCTCTTCTGATTAAACACATCGGCTGCACAATAGTAGGAACTTTCTGGACACGACGTCATCCCCAGAACTTCTAACAAGAAATTTGCATGCGGGTGGGTTCAGACATATCTAAGTTCCCTTAGACTTTGAAGACACTGGGGGGAAAGTTGGTTTAGGATTGAATGTCCTTCAAACAAAGGCCTCAGAAAATGTTAATACAGTGGAATTATTGGCTGCCACATAAATTAAAAAAAAAAATTAAACTACCGAGGTCAAAGGGCAGAGGTTTCAAACAAAGTTACAATCTTGATCCTCCTCCATACAAACATGAACACGTTTAAGATGTTATTTCACTCATTAATGAGGAAACAGAGATGATATTACAACCCCCTCCAAGGAGGATGCAAACAGCACACACATTTATAGATCAGGAAGAGTAAAATGAAGGTACAAATGGAAGGAAAACTCATCTTTTCCATAGTAGCTAGGGAAGTCAATCAAACCTCTATGGGACAGAATTCACATGTCTATGACAAGAGTTATTTTATATTTCTATCGGTTGTCTACAATGTACAGAACCGTAAGCCAGCTCTGTAAATAACCCAAGTAGCATGCTACTGATAATGCACAGTTTTCCATGGATGTCACAAGTTTTCCCAGCACAGATCTCTGACTACCTTATTCACTGCTGTAGTCCCCAAACCTGGTCCAGGGTAGATGCTGCATAAATGCTTGCTAAATGGGTAAATGTCTAATAGGTATCAGGCATTCGACTAGGCCCTTCAATATTCCTAATCACACTGTAAGATGAATATTATTCTCATTTCACTGATGAGAAATGTGTGTGACATTGTGCAGCTATGATGTGTCAAAGGTTGAGGGTGGAGGAGCAGGGGGTAGGATTTGGCCCGGGTGGGTGATCAGAAAGCCTGTCTTTTTCTCTTTCCATTTAATCTATGTCTTTTTTATTTACCATCGCTGTACCATTTGCCTCTCAATTAAGGGATTGTTTATACGTTACACTGATATACCATGCCTCGTTGATGAGCATAATACTGGAGCACCTTGCTTTAAGAGAAATAAATGAACAGCAATATTCAGGAGAATCTAAGCATAAATAAGAGACATGCGAGCACCTTTATCGCAGCCTCGCAGACGAGCACCAGAGATTTACCAGCGCAGACATTGCTCACCTCCCACGTTTCATGAAAATAAAGATGGGTGAATTCAACACTGTTTATATGTGTTGTTTATTTTCATAGAAATCAGGACAGCACCTGGGGAAACAGCAGCAGCTAACACTCACTGTCTGCTTACTATGACCGTGCACTACCTGTCGCAGCAACCCTGTCAAGGCGGGAATTATCATCATTCCCCTTTAACAGCTGAAGCAAGCTGAAGTGCATTCCATAATCGTCACAACATCACACAGCTAAGTGGCAGCTCCGGGCTTTGACCTGACACTGGTCACCACAGCCTGGCCTCTCCCTAAGTCACCCTACCACCTGCATAGTCTGTTGAGATTTGCTCTGTCATCACGTATCGATATTTTCTAAACCTCTCTGCCCTGTTGATCAAAGCCTCCAAGGGTTCTAGGATTCCCAGGGCTTCTGGCATCACAGGGCTGGCAACGGCAGGCTGGTTTAGGGCTTGAATGCTATTTTCTGGCCACTTGGCTCTTGTGATGATTTGGTTACTTCACATTCGCTCCGGGGCCAGAGACCGGGGCAGGCGAGTGGTCTTCCGAGGCCTCAAAGAAGTGCATGTCAAACAGACGCGGACCAAATGTTAACCTGAAACCATTGTCTCTGTTCCCTAAGTCCCTTAATAATCCCCTGCTTTCTTTTCTTGCCAGAAAATGGGCTGCCCTTAGAATGAAGTAAGAGTATGTGTTTGGACACCTCCCCATGAGTCCTGACATAAGTAACAGTGCAATGCAGAAGGTGCCAATAAATGGCTGGCTTAGTGGTTTACTTATATTCATTTAATTTTCACAATGACTCCCTGAGACAGACACTATTATTATCTCTATTTTGGAGATGAGGATGTGATGCTAATTAACTTGCCCAGGATCCTAGCTAGGATCTTGCCCAAGGTCCCAATCAGGCTGTGATTTACCAATGGCCGGCGGTGCTCCATGGAGACCAAGAGTGCCACCCAACGCAATAAGACAGCTGTCTGAAGCCCCTAGCTCATGCACACACCCCCTTTCCTCACGTCACTTAACGGGGAGCCTTGGGAAGTGGTGCCATGTATTCCGTAAGCATTGACCCATGAGCTCTTCATTTCTGAGGAGCAAAATGCTCAGCCTCTTCAAAGTATTATAAACGCTTACCCTTCCCTCAAGGGTATCTCATAATTCTCAGCCCTAGTAAGAGAGAACATCACTTTCAAATAAGATCATGAAAAGGGCTTTGCCCTTACTATCACACAGGCATTGAGAAACATTAGGCAGACGAGGAGGGCTACCATCATCAGCCAGGTGGGTACTAACTGATCGATCACTTTTAGGGGAAGAATAACTGATCCTATATGGGACTGTTTTATATTCTTCAGAGAGGGACTAAGAAATAAATCTTAACACTTGGAATCTAAGCTACATTTCCACTCTGCCTTCAGGATGTTAGGGATTTCATCGAAACGGGTCATTATCTCTAGTTGGGGGGAGAGAGAAAGTACATTAAGGACCATTTTTATACTTGAGTTAGGAGGATTTCTCACTCTGTTAACTCAGCCCGAGTGACACTTGGGTGTGTTCCTTATATATTAAACATTATCAACTTGGTCCACAGGACGCTATGATAATCTAGCTTAGTGTTTTTTAAAACTCAGTGTTAGAAACCTTTTTTCCAAGTCAAGTTTTCTATATAATTCAAATATATACATAACAGACATAAAGGGAGCCACTTTGGATGACATACCCACCTCTACCCAAAACACCCCCCTTGTCCCTTTGCCAGCCTCGAGGGTACCCAGGGGCTCCACGGAACACACTTTGAGAACCACCCATCAAGTCCTGCCCTAGGGAGGTGGTATCAGCCCCAGGTCTCAAAGCTACAGGGCAAGAACTGACATGCAAAAATAAATACTTTCCGCTTCACATGCCCCTTTCTAAAGTAATAGGAGTGAATAGAACATAGGGAGGTTAGGGTTTCAGAAGAGAGAAGGCACGCGTTTGGAAAGAGGCTTGGCATCTAGAGTGCGGAACTGCTCAAGAGCGCGTCACCTTCCCACCAGAGCATTAGTTTTCTCTTAGAAAAAGAAGGGAAGAATCTTGACCAGAACCGGGACTTCGCCATTTTCTCCTGCACAGTTTGGTGCACAGATCCTATTCCTCCGTCCTATGTTTTATCACGGTGTTTGCCAAGGAGGGAGGTGGGAGGAATACTGCCACATAAAGCAGAGTCTCAGGGAGGTAGGGCAGGCGAGGTCTGGGCTCCCACGGGGGCCTGTCCACTCCCCCTTGTCCATTCCATTCTCCAATCGAGAGACTTGAGCCTAAGGGCTTTTCCAGTTCATTACACTGTCGTATTTTCTGCTTCCAAGTGCTTTTTGATCACCACATACAGTTCTCAAAGCCGCTTGATCTAAATTTGTGCTTTGAAGGTATTTATCTCAGGGCTAGTGAATATTATTATATTCACTTCAGAATTTTCCTATTTAGAAATATTTTCTACTTAGACCATCTACTTCCTGATCCTGTAACCAAGCTAATTTGAAAGATTCCCTCCCTTTCTTTTCTCTAGGACTGCTTTTATTTTCTCTAGAATCCCCCAACCCCTTACCCTGATTCCCACATCCTTTTTTTATATGGAACGCTCAAAATCCATGGTTCTCTAGAATAACATCTTATGCTGGTTCAAAGTACAATAGCATGGCTCTCATGGCTCTGGAAGTGATCACCCCTTTTAAAGCAAACTCATGCCAGAAAATTTCAGCAGGAAGATGCTGTCTCATGCGAGGGTATGGGAAAGGCCATGGGGATGGGGAGAGAGAGAGGGCCGAGAGAGGGAGGGAAATATTTTGGATACTGCATACTTTACCAGTTATGTCATGCTGTTTGAATGACTCACTGTAGATCTGATACTGATTCGGACAGTGTTTCTTCAACCACTTGCAGACATCCTGCTGAGTCCACAGAGCCACTGGTTTTGACAGCTTCACGGCAGCTGACTGTAAATAAAGAAGGAGTGTGTTAATTGTGTTAATGCCAGCCCCACGCCTAGGAAGGTGCTGCTGTTAGATGTCCCAGACTGTGGTAAAGGCTGGATTCCCCAGAGATCAATATCTTGCTCGGGTCCTCCTCACCTCAGCAGACCTTCATAGCCCTGAAAACCAAGGAAGAAAAACTCCAGGTGGAGAAGCCCATGAACATCAGACCTCCCCTCGAGTTGTCATCCCTTCTAGGAAAAAAATCTCCAGGAAGGAGCGTTTTCTGATGAATACTCTTAACAACAAGACAAGAGAGTTGCTAAGCAATTAAGTTTCAGGAGGAAAATAGCTGCCCTCCACATTGCTTTTCTCCGTATTCCAAGAAAGCGTCCATCCTTTGTCCTCTGATCTCTCTAGGGCCTAGTACAATACTGGTCCTGGCAGGAGCTAATAATTATTTTTTAAATGAATGTTATAGGATTTAGATACTGCATATTAAAAAGAGAAAGTTGGCCTGGGAGCTCTGGACTGAGGGCGGTCCTGTAAAGTCTAGGAAAATTAGTTATGCCTCAGTGGGGAAGCAAACAGTCAATTCTGCCAGCATGTGGGGAATGGTAATAAGATAATGGCGGTAGCTAGGCCTTATGAGGAAGCCAACTAGCCGAGACCCTTTAATGCACACTGCATCTTTCAAGGAGGTGTTTAGACAAAGCCAAACACAGAGGTACACGGACCCAGCTTTTGACAGATGGAGGGTTACAAACACATTCATTAGTTAACAACAAGCCACAGTCTTCTCCATGGATCCCAGGAACTTGGTGGGGGCTAGATGAAAACTTAGCTGTCTATAATTTTTATCATTCTGGATCAGTATTTGATAACAAAATAGGATGATAATGTTGATCGCTTTTTATAAGATGTTGGGTGGCACACAGACCTGGCCGTAAATATCAGTCACCTTTCTCACTAGGGATCATTGGCTTTCGCTTCTCTTTCAATCTTTCAGAGTAAGTCAAGGGGAGAACCTCAATTTTGTGAGTGTGATTTAACATCTTTCCCACACCTGCTGAAGTGTTTTTTGACGAAGAGAGGGGTCCCTTCCTCCTCAGATCCTTCAACGGAAGGCAGTACATTTCACATCTAATAACTGTTCTGGTTTACTTTTATTATATTTAAGGTTGCTTTTATTTTATGGCAAACAAATTATGGCAAAAGGAAATCTTATGTTTGGTAGTAATATCTAGTTTGCTTTTCAAACAAGCTTCAGTAGAAAAACATTAAGGAAACAATAGTACAGATAATAATAGTACAAACAATGGAAGTGACAGGCAAGTGAATCAAGTTTAGAAAACATAGTGCTCAGGTATTATTTTCATTAGTGTATTTCCAGTTGCATGATTCTTTGCGCCATCATTTCCAAGATAATCACAAACAATACTTATCACTTTTTACTTTGTGCTGTGGTGATTTTTTTCTTTCACTTATTGTGATAGACTGTATTTTCCACATATGATTATATATATGTACATATATACACAAACATATATCCATATACCTAGCTGCTTTTCGTGTACTGCCACTAGCATTCCTCCATTGAAATTTGGGGTTGATATTCCTGCTCCTTGAATTGTGGCAGGGTCTGAGATGGTCCTGACCAGTGGAGTCCAGCACCATTGATACTATCTATGTATGTGACTCCTGAGAGTAGGCCATAAAAATGATACAGTGTCTGCCTGGCTCACCCTCTCTGGCACTCAATTTTGGAACCCAGCTGCCATATTGTGAGGAAGCCCATACCACATGAAGAGACCATGTGTAGAAATTTTGGCCAAGCACCCAGCTAAGGACACAGCAGACAGCAGCCACCACCACCAGCCCTCAGACAAACACGGAAACAAGCTTCAGATGATTCCAGTTCCCAGTCTTTTGAGTGTCTCAGCTGAGGCTCCCAGACACCAGGATGCTGGCACAAGCCATCCCTGCTGAGCCCTGAGTGAATTCCTGACCCATCTAGTCCATGAGCATCATAAGCAGTTGTTTCTCACCATTAAGCTTGGGGTAATTTGTTTTGCAACCTAGTAACTAGAACACTAAGTTATATGCTCAGTGGGGATAGAAGTGTTATAACTGTGCTCTCCAGAGTGCCTTACATTTAATAGACGCTCTAATGGCCACAATGAATATGTGAATGAATTAATGAAAAGAAACCGTTCTCACCGAGTTTGGGTTCACAGGCCTGCTTGTTATTTAATCAGCAGTGAATTTCAAGCATAGCCCTGTCAGCCCTCCACCTACCTGTGTCGTGCTCATGTGGCTGCTAATCAAACTTGGCCTCTTCCTTTGACCCTACATCCCCGAGTCACAGGCTGCCAGCCATTGTCCCTCTGACCTCTGTGTGCAACCATAGCAACTGCTTTCATAATTTTGATGCAAGAGGTGAACCTTTGGCATGGATGATGCAAAGGAGTAAATGTTTTGATGTTCAGTTTTCCCCTTTTTGCCCGTCATCACCTCCTTTCCTTTGCATGATGAGGATGCTAGAATTTTGGCTCTTTTAGCTAGAAATGCACTTCCCACCCCGTTTTACAAGTCAGCACCTCTGATTCTGGCTCTGTCCTGCTCTAGAAATTTCCCTTCAGATTAGCTGAATGAGTTCATAGCTGACACATCATTACCCTGAAACTCCCTGCAAGCTCCCTGCAAGTAAAGCTAATCGCATTTTTTGGAAAACTCTTATAAACCAGTCACAGAACGCTATAAATTAGGAAGGGAATGGCAAGAGGATAAAGGTGCTTATACATCAATATTCTAAACTTCCTGGAGAGCCACTCTTTAGCTTGCTCATTTCCTAGGAAACAGGACCCTCAGCGGCAAGACAAGCCCAGTCACCAGGGGACATCAGGTGGAGATGAACTCAAATGCGCCAAGTCAGCTCAGGACACGTCCTCACAGCCCATCAAGTGCTCTTGTTATACATTTTCCTTTATCATAAATGAGTCTAACACTCCAGGAGTGGCTTTGTTTTTCCTTCAGAACACACTCTTGCTAAGCAGTCATTTGGTTATCACTTGCTTGGACAGCAATAAACCCAGGGCTTTAGGCACAGATTTTTAAGGGATATGCCTCCACGTAAACTGGTATGGCAAACAAAATGGGAGGGATGGAAATGCCTACCTTGAATACGCACTGTTGTCTCTCCATAATCAGATGGAGAGACATACTCATACAAGTCTTGGCTTTATTATGAAATTGTTATTAGTTTGCTTCTCATTAACTTAACAGCCATAATGACTCCAATTGCCCCAGTCTGCTGCTGTTTTCTGGGTCCTCCCTCAGAGCACACTTTCATTTGTTCTGCCTGAACTTCTGTGTAACACCTCAGGACACCTCTCTACTTCTCCTATTATCATGATGTCCCATCCCCAACAGCAACCAAGTTTTGGGGAGTGAATGTCCTAACCTGACTCCTTTAAAGAGCTTAACCTTTATTTCTATGTGCAATTTGAAACAAGCATTTGTTCAGCTCATGTCAATCCCACTGTCCCACTGGGTGGTGCAGAGTTGTCAAGTCTTAATATGCGTAGTTCCACAGTGTTATTTTAACTGCCCTCACCAGCAACACTCACACCTCTATTGATACCAACTCTAGCCGCTAATTGTCTCTGATATGCTATGTTTCCCCCCCACACACAGTAGGAGCCTCAACCAAAAAAATAATAGTTCATAAACCAAGAGATAATATTTCATATTTATTAAAAATAGTAGATAATAATAATAAAAAATCCTGTCCAAAGGCAAACATTAAGAAAACATTTGCCCCAGTTCTTTTTCTCCATGTTAAGTCTACCACAGCATTCTCTGGATTTACAACTCTGGAGACTGTTGCGGTTTGTTTTGCTGCCCTGAGAGAGGCCGGAGGCAGCTTGGTACTTCAACCCCTTTGCATTGTGACACCAAGCAGGACCCTGGGCATGTCCTTTCTGGATGGGTCCAGGTCTTCCTATACATAAGCTGAAAGCGCCTTGACTTTCCGTTTTATACGAAAACCTCACTTTATGCAAAAGACACCTTTTCGAGGGAACACTTTTTTGCAACTTATTTTTTTTGCAAATGATCCTATTTTATACAAAAATTGCAGCAATGCTTTAGAGTAATTTCTGATTTGTATTTAACTCAAGTTTTAAGTTCTTTAAACTTGAAGCTTCTCTGCTAATAAAAATAATGAAATGCATCAAAGAAGTTTGTTACTGAAAGAACATACACGAAACCTTTTTAAAGGTAAATTTTGTTTCGTAATCCAATTATCCCTTATCTGTGTTGCAACATAAATTCTCTTTTAATTTCCAGGGTTTGGATTTATAAGAGAACACTGCCATTTTAAGCTCCTGATGGCTGTACAAACCCTTAACTAGGTAACCGTACATGAGGCCCAGTGAGTTGTGAAAAAGTAGAGAAAGCCGATTGCTTCCATCTACTAGAAGGACAAAGTGAGCTTTATGGCCAAACATCATAAAGTGGTAAACACATTTGCAGTATTGCATTATAAGCAAGTGTTTGCAAGCTCTAAACATTGCCTCTTCCTTCTGTTACCAACATGCCATGCTGTTTCTTTAGTTTCCAGTCTATTTTATTGGCTTTCATTGTGTAATCTTTCTCAAGATTGAAGAAAGGGGACTGGAGGGAAATGGGGGAGGGACACACACACAAGTCTATTTTAGCATTTTTTTGATGCTCATTAATCCCAAAAAGGGCCTCTAAATACAAGAAAAGATGGGCTAATTCACATAATACTTGGCATTTGAATTGACTTTTAAGTACCAATAATGGCCTTATCTGTCACCTTAACTCTTTCATGGAAGAAGGTGTTTAGAAAAAGAATTGAAATAGTATCTCTTCTATTGTAGTCTTTTGCCAGGGTGCCTAATGAGAACCATGGGGCCATTTTGGGGTTTGGACCAAAATACCTTAGGCTGAATGAAGCTCTTAAATTTCATGTCTTAAAGAGAAGACAACTCTTTGCT